AAAAATGTCGATTATTTATGCATGGTTTCGGGGTGAACCACGCGCTTTTTTTTCAAAAATATATTTATCGGAGGTTATACGCGTGGACGAGATAGATACGAGTTTGTGCACTCGCTTATTTATTTATTCGTTTCCTTTTTTCCGCTAAAGCTCGACTGCTCGTTGACGGAAGTCTCCTCGTGATCGATCGCGCTTGTTCGAGTTTATTTAACCGGCTCTGATCGTTATTTCGTTAGCTCGGTTAAGAAGGTTCGATAAGGGCATTGAATCTCCGAAGCGAACGACTCCTTTCGGTATTTATTCCGATTCCAGTGATTAACGAATCCGGGCTCTCCAGCGAAATATAATAGTTCCGATACTTTGTTAAATTCCTGCAGCTCGTTATTGTTCGATATCCCAATTTTCTGGTCCAGTTAATAACGCTATTCCTTCCCTGCAACGCCACGATCGACGACGAAAGTAGACACGGGAAAATTAAATCGTTTTAATCGATTTCTCGTTTTGCCTTCGTTTCGTCGATTCCACCGTCGATTCGACGAAATTTTTTCCCTCCACGCTCGTACCTCGTCCTGGGAATAATTCCCTCCACGAATTCCACGAGTTCCATTTACGTATCGCGTCCCGGCGAGATTTTTAATTCGAATTTGCCGCGCACGCGCGCGCGCGCAGACTGCGTTAAGGGTAGTTTGCGTCGCGGTGGTGAAGGAGAAATCGGGCATTGCTTTCATTCCGAAGCGTGCTTTCTCTGCGGATTCCCTGGCATCACGCCACTAAAAGTGTTATCTTCCATTCTTCTCCGTTTCCTAGGCAATTAGAGCGCACACGCGAGGTCCGTTTTATGCTCGAGTCGTCAAAGGCTCTGTTTGCGGATAAACGCCATTTTGGACGACGAATTCGCGCGATTATTCCTTAATCGCTTATTCCACGGACTTTGCGATTCCTGGCTACGTCATATCGTTTATGTTGACGGAATAACAAAACAAGGACGGCATCAGTGGGAATCTATTGTTAGTTTCGCAGCTGTCTCTTGTCACCGTTTCCTCTAGTCGGTCAGTCTGCCATAAGTCACGCTCGTGTTCACGAGTTCATCGAAAGCTGTCGAGATACACGATTTCCTAAAATTCGAACTGCCTACTTGGTTACCCAAGTGTCCAATAGTTTTCCTCTTTTTATCAGTAACGTGGCCATACCCCATTTCGTGTGGCTTGTTAATAGCGAGCTTAAATTTAAATACGGGACGCAAAAAATTTCGTTGTCCAATTAACAATCGCTGGCTCGTTTGCGGACAACTCGAGCGTGTTATCCGTGCCAGAAGCGTTCAATTTCCCGGTGAAAAGTACGAAAACGTTGCAGGTGGGCGCGGAGGGGTGGCTGGATTGACGACACGGCGATGCCTTTTTCTTCTCGGTGGCCATTTTTTTTCTCTCTTTTTCTCCGCTGCCTTTTCTCTGCTCCTTTTTTTATAGTTCGACGTGCAAATCGCGCCTCGTCGGGTTCACGTTGTTTTTCCAGTCCCCATCAGCTGCGCGGCTCCACGCCCATGCGTGTTTTTCGCGCGGATTTGCAAAACCTGACAACTTTTTAGCATCTGCTGTCCGCGCTCTTTTTTCCCCCCTTTGTGCCTCCCTCTCTCTCTCTCTCTCTCCTGTATTTTTCTCTTTTTTTTCTCTCCTCTTTTTCGCGCAGCTTAATGGCGAGCGTTCCGATTCCAGCCTCGGGCAGGTATAATGCGTCACAGTCTCGCAAACAGGGTCGACCGATAGTCGCGCGTTTCATCCGATCCTTTCGCGCCTTTGTTTCTCCGGCGACTATGAAACTCTATTAAATACCTCCTACCGGCGAGTTATAACGCAAACAAAACGAGACGCGGCGATAATAGAGCGGCGCCGTATCCCCGGCGAATCTACTTTTAGTCCGTCTGGAATATTCCTGGGGGGTTGTCACTGTTACAATTATCGCCGTCGTTGCAACGGGGTAAGCAGAAATTAGCTGTAACGACGGCTGACTGACGCGGCCGCGTCTCTCCGCACGGACACCGGTCGCCCTTCGTTCCCTCCGCTATCGAATATCTATACCGTTCGATTTTATAGTCCGCGTTGTTTCCACCAGCCCCCCCGACGCGTTAGTCCGCGTCCGCTTTTATGGAGCACGGGGTCGCGCGAGCGGTACAGAGATTTATCCGATGCTGGTATTACAAATATTTTGAGGGGAATACGTGAAACCACGGCGGGGAAAAGAACGTGACACGCAGTTAAGAATTGGCACGTGGCATAAGGTTTACCCCGGTCGTATTACGCTTTTATGGCGCGCTGGTCGACACTTCGACCCGATGTAAAAGGAAAAACAACGCGTGCTTTATGGCCGCTGCACGTTGGACCTCGTAAATCGCCACCAGTGCAGATGAAACGTTCCTTCGTTTCTCCACGCTAATTTACCGCGGATTCGTTACAGCTCCAGCACTACTTCGCGTTCGATTTAACCCCTTGTCGATTTCCCCATTTACCACGACGAAAGCCGGTAGACGACGAGGTCTGAACGAATCGGAGTGATCGTTACCTTCCTAATTGAACTATTTTTTAGTATATCTGACACGATCTTCGTCTCACGAGTGTGCCTCGTGATGTCCATGTTTGGTCCAAAATTGTCATCGCGAGTCAGAAGCTCGATATTAATTAATATATCAAATTTAAAATAATGTAACAGTATGGGAGATGTCAAGATTAAATAATTCTACGTGTTAATTATTATACGATTTCTTATTTAGTGCTCAAAAGATATCGTCAGTTTTATAGCAGAAAATTTTTCAAGTCGTATCCTTCTTTAGCCAAAAGTCGTCAAGTGCAAAGGATTTAATGGGAATGTCTGATTATTGTAATCTCATTGTTGTACCATGTATCTACCGTATCTGTCCTCGGATTAATCCCTTGCTCTACAGTATAAGTTCGCTTGGCGAGAGCCTTAGTCAACAGCAAAGTCGGTCACACGTTGTCATTGACAGGTGACAGACATCAGAGCTGGAGTCATTTTCTTTACGTTAGACCCTATCTATACAACACATATCTTATGTCTTACATCACTTATATCTCATCTTTGATATTGCAGACCAAGGGGTTAATCTGATGCGATGAAAGGTCGCACATAGCAAAGCAAATGACGTAAGTCAAAATTGTTCCTGGTCCACCCTACGTGATTCTTCTCATGCAAATTCTCATACCTCGATCAGGTCTCTTTTTATTACCGAATGGTATAAAGAATTTTCCGAAAACCCCAAGAGTCGAAAATTTTTATCAGTCTATTAAAATAAACCTCAGTAAAGTGTCAAGGGATTGTCAAAGTTGCTCAAAAATTCCCTCTGTCCTGTCCTGTGTAATATTACCATTCGTAGTAGATGCCTGCTATAATTCGATATTAGCCGTACCAATTTCCACGAAATTATTCAATTTTTGCGGCTTCATTTTGATTACGACGCAGTCACGTATGTATAACGTAAGAGATACGTCCCGCGTTATAGTAAACTGCGTTATACGAGACGCGCATTATCTGACGAATTTATGCAAGCTTAAACACGTCTCCGAGTTGCAGCACTGATCGCGTATTACTATAGCTGGCACGCTTTATCCGCGAGTAACTTCATAGTAACGCGAATACTAAACAAGAATATGTCAAAACGTTAAATTTATCTTGCGTGTTCCGAGTATGGCAATTTTTTCGTCGCGTTGTGCCAGAGACCATGAAATTATTATTTAACGTGACATTCCAGTCTGATAAATTTATAATACACTGTGTATAGATTAATTATAGAATATCGTATTACAATATTCCAACCTAATATCACATATGGTTAACACTTCGCATGCGGGCACGGTTTTCCAAGTTTTTGAACGTGCAGCGGGCAAATCCAGCTTTTTCGCGTACTGGTCAATTTGATAATTCACGAAATCGCGCGAATCCATTTTCAAAATGGGTAAAATGCAATGAAATAAAACTGATAAAATTAAGAAATAGGATAAAGTAAAGCGCAAGTTTCTTCAAAGTCACAGAATGCAGTTCATTGCAGTCTATCACGCAACTGAGATTACAGTCTCCCGCTTTCAACGTTTGTTCTTTTTCGGACTGTGATCACAGTCTCCTGCTTGCAATGTGTTAATGTAATGTATGACAGGGGTAGTTATTATTCTACATTTACGTGCACTTCATAGGTCACTAGCCAAAGCATTAAGAATCGGTGGCCGTATTTTTAGGAGCACTGTAGCGTCCTATTTATCGAATCCCTTCGCTGTGAAAGAATAAAAATTCCTAAACCTTTGCTTTACCTTCATAAACTTAATCCGTTAGAACGGCGGTGAGGTACATCTATCCTCCAGAATTGCAGTCGCGATATAAAATATATTGTAAACCATTTGCATCTAAGCGCGGAATATTCCGCGAGCCACGACAGTCACCTATCACCGAGCGCGGAATATTCCGCGAACCACGACTGTCGTCTATCACCGAGCGCGGAATAATCCGCGAGGCACGACAGTCGCCTATCACCGAGCGCGGAATATTCCGCGAGCCACGACTGTTGCCTATCACTGAGCGCGGAATATTCCGCGAGCCACGACTGTCGTCTATCACCGAGCGCGGAATAATCCGCGAGCTGACTTTTTCCATTACAAGTTGCTGAATATTCTTCATATGTCAAAGATAACGTTTGATTCCTTTTGTGAGCATCTCATCTACATCGGTTCATTATATTTTTAACAAGTTTTACTCTTGTGAAAATCCTTTTAACTGTCATTACGAGTAGGTGCTGATACGCGCGCGGTGATACGGGCTAGTCGTCAGTTGAACGTCGCTGATGCTTGAACACGGTACCTTAAGTAGAGCCATGATACAAATGGGTTAAAAGTGTGAGCCTCAGAATAAAAATCCTGTTATAAACACGCTTTCCGGGACGGAACAAGCACGATGCTCCTAATATCCGGGCACGTAAGAATGAAACAACGGTAAAGACTTACAGGTTGATCCCATCGTAGCCAGCGCCTATCCCGACGTGATCCACCCCTGCGATCTTCCGCACGTGATCGATGTGTGCTGTAACAGATAAGAGTAACGAGGACCGTGAGCGAGGCTGTAATAAATAAAATGTCTAATCGTGGAACTTTAATCGGAGGAAAAATAAGAGAAAAAGGTCTCCCCTTGCCGAGCCTAATATCTGATCCTCGCGACTCTGTCATCCGTACGGAGTAACACGTGTTACCGCCATTATCCCCTAAAACGTCAGCAATCCTCGCGCGTCCTCGGCGATGAATCGGCGCTCATTCTATCGGAAAGTAGGTCGTCGAACCTCTGCCGAGCAGAATTTAACCCCACTGGCGAAATAGACCGAATGTATCGGCAGCCCCGCGAAGATGGGCTCGGCGAACGTCGCGAGCCGACTTCCGGCCGCCCTAAGTGCAAACGTCAGTTCCACTTGGGTGTAAACGCAGCTGCGCGGGGTGCACTTGACGCGGCGAGCATTATACGAGGAACGCGTGGGCGATCACGGCCGCGTTATTATTAAGTGGCCGCAATTGTTGCGTTGCAGCCAGCGTGCTATGAGCAGCGTGCAACGAGAAATCAATCACCAGGCTAATGTTGTCAATGGGCTGGCCAGCACGGTCCGGCGTGCAGCCTGGCCAATTGGCCGAATTATCACTGAGAGTCGGTTTAACGCGGTGTTTCTCGTTCGCGAGCATCGCGAGCATCGTGAATTTAAGAACCCTGAACGAAGAAAGGGCGTAAAAGAGGAAAGAAACGGGAAAGAG